TTCAAAAAATTTAAGCTTAGATTTGAGTGATAAGCTTTGCACAAAATAATAATACAGATTCTTTTGTGAATGTTCAATGTGGATCGTCAAATATATCTCTTATTAACATAGACCTATAATGATGTTTAGTGAACAATTTTATTAATTAAATGAAATAATGTACATTTTTATTTCAATTTGATGAGGTTGAATCATGTAAGTAGTAGAATTTTAACAATATTACCTTATAAACGATATTTGTTGCATGTGTTTCTTGCCATCTAATCTGATGTGTTTTGCACGTGTATTCAACATAATCTCTTTAGATGTCATATGAACATATAGAGATGTCATTTTATTCATATATATTCTCATATTTTTAGATTATCGTGTGTTTTATTTTTAAAAAATCAAAAAAATTTAAAATAATATATTTTGAAGTTATAAATCTTGTTAACTTGATAATACATTTGTAACATATATAAATGCTGAAATATGAACTTTTTTCTTCGATGAAAATACTGAAATATTAAGAAAGAGTAAATTAGTAAAACTAAAGGACAATTTTTACATAATAATAATAATTATTTTTAATCAAACATCCTTACAATCCAAGTCACATAAGTAGCAGTAATAAATAAAATCATTCTTTCGTCTTGAGTATCAAGAGATTCATATCATACATACGTGGTGCCACCAAAAGCAAGAATTTCATTTTAAATTTATTTATTTCCAAAATTAGCCTTCCGCTTTGATGAAAAGATGTGACTTTTATGAAAATTTTATCAAAAGTGGCAACATTGATGAAAAGTTATGACTTTAATGAAGAGTTGTGACTTTTATGAGAAGTTGTGACTTTTATCAAAAGTTACGACTTAATTAAAAGCTGCTACTTTTATGAAAGGTTGTGAACTTTCCGAAGGGTTGTAAATTTTCCAAATAATTGTAACCTTTGTGATAAGGCACAATAAAGATTTGTGTACACTACCATTTAGCATCATATATTATTATAAGTAGGAACCTCCTAACCCTAAAGTTGATTTACCGTTTTGCCCCTACTATATGAATTAAATATTAATTTGTTAAATACAAATATTAGTTAAATATTAAACTTTTATAAATAAAATTAGCTGTCAGACCTAATTTGATTCTCCAGAAACGTATAGTTGTTGTTCAAGCTCCCTCAATCATTGTAACGACCCCTTTTTCTAACGCTCAGTCTCCATTGCAGCTATTCCAAAACCTAGATATTTCATTGATCTATACAAATGTCTCCAACATCATGTCATTGTTCCATTAATCTGCTTTTTTCTGTGTCTCAATTATGAACACTGAATGTTCATTTATTAATGAATGCAACAAGTTATTAAATAGAGTTACAACGAAAGTAATAAGACTCCTAAACAAATTGAACTAAAGTAATCTAATTAAATAATGACTGTTGAACTAGTAAGACAATCCTAATACGACTAAACTACTAACTGGCGTCCTAAGACCAGATGTTCTAGTATGCCCCCTCAAGTTAGATGATGATTCACTAAGCCTAACTTGAACAAATTAGACCCAAAAGTAGATTTAGAAAGTCCTTGGTGAGGGTGTCTGCTATTTAATCGGCACCATGGACATGAACAACACGAACCCTTTTAATGTCAAAATAGTGGCGAACAAAGTGAAAGTCCACAACAGCATGCTTAGCACGACTATGTAGGACAGGATTCTTGCTCAAGAATGTGGCTCCAAAATTGTCACAGAAAATTGAGGGTAGCTGATATACTGGAAAGCGCAACTCATTTAGGAGATTGGTGACCCATAAAGTTTCAGAAAGTGCATTAGCCACTGCCCAGTATTTTGCTTCTTTGATGACCAACTAATCTGATTGTTACCAATAAATAGGATGTAACCAGATGTAGAAACTCTGTCAACGATGTCCTCACCCCAATCTACATCAGAGTACACATGTAGATTGAATTCATCAATGGGAGTAACGCGTAGGCCGAGTTGAATGGTACCCCACAGGTATCGAATAACATGTTTTACAGCCTTCCAGTGAAGGTTTGACGGTGCTTGCATAAATTGAGAAAGCTTGTTGACTGCATAGGCTATGTCAAGTCTAGTGAAGGATAGATATTGAAGCCTATCCAAGACTCGGCGATAACGTGTAGCATCAGTCTAGTGAGTTCCATCGGATAAGGTAAGTAACTCAGATGCACTCATGGGCGTGTTAACACTCTTGCAGTCGGTCATTAGTTCATCATTCAAAATTTCATTCACATAATTTGCTTGGGTGAGGATTAAGCCATTGGAGCTGCGTATCACTTCAACACAATGAAAGTAGTGAAGATTACCTAAATCTTTAATAGAGAACTTAAAAGCAAGGGAAGTGATAACCTGATTGACACTTAAAGTATTGCTCCCAGTGATAATAATATCGTCAACATAGACGACGACGAAGAACGTATCACCTGCACCATGTCTGACAAGTAGTGAGGCATCAGATTTTGTCTTAACAAAGCCTGTGGATGTAAGATAACCCGTGAGGGCATTGTACCATGCCCGAGGAGCCTGTTTCAATCCATAAATTGCCTTGTGCAGCCGACATATATTCTTTGGTTTGTCATCAGTAGTAAACCCCGGAGGTTATGCCATGTACACTTCCTCTTCCAGGTTGCCTTGGAGGAAGGCGTTATTGACATCTAGCTTGCGAAGGTGCCGTTGTGACGAACTGCCACAGAGAGGACGATGTGAACTATGGTGGGGTTGACGACTAGGCTGAATGTGGCGTGAAAGTCAATGCCTGGCCTCTGAGTAAAGCCTTTTGCAATTAGGCACGCTTTGTATCTGTCGATGGACCCATCAGCATTTCTCTTGATCCTGATAAGCCACTTGCAAGATACAATGTTTTTGGTCGGGTCAGGAGGAATAAGTTCCCAAGTCTGATTTTTAATTAAAGCATCAAATTCCTGTTTTATTGCATACCGCCACTCTGGATATTTTTGTGCTTGTTTGATAGTAGTGGGTGTGACAGTGGGGTTCAATTTGGCTAGGTAATCAAAAATCTTTTTTTGGTTTTGTGATATTATTTTAGGGTCGAGTGACAGCACAAGTAGGAGGAGACGGACATTGAGGCGGGGAAGGAGCGAGTTCTAACTCGTTGGTAGGACAGGTTGGTTGAGGAGCCATATGTGTTGGTGGATTGGTGTTTCTACGGTGATAGACAAGGAGAGGAGACAAGCTGCTTTGTGTGTTAGTTGGTATCAGTGTTTGAGAGTTTGTAGGGAGGCGTGATAGTGCTAAATGTTGGGTAGTAGATATAGAAGAGGTGTTCTGGGAAGCAGGAGTTATTGAAGATGAGGAAGACAAAAACATACCTTGAGAGATGAATCTGTTGCGTCTGCCTGCCGCTGATGCATCGTCGGATAAGGACTGCGAATTTTAGTTGTCTCCGTACTGGTCTGGAGAGGAAGCAGATTGTGATGGAGAATCTGTAATAGTGTGTGTTGCTATTTCTAATGGAGTTGGCATATCTGTAACTATGGGAAGTTTGGGTGTGGGGTTTGAAGAACTTGTCATTGTTGGTGTTGCGCATTCCAGGTGAGTTGATTTAATGGCAATGTTGGAGAACAATGTCTTAAATGGAAAAAAATCCTCAACAAATTGCACATCTCGAGATAAGTAAACCTTTGCAGAAATTGGGTCAAAACACTAGTGACAATGATGGGATAGTGAGAATCCAAGATAGACATATGGGGTAGATTTTGATTAAAGTTTATTTTTGGAGTATGGTTTTAGCCATGGATAACATAAACAACCAAAAAATTGTAGGGATTTATAAATAGGTGATTTTCTAAGTAATTTTTGGAATGAGAATTGATTATCGAGGTGAGAGGTTGGAAGACGATTGATGAGGTAGACAGTGTGATGGCACGCAAAAGACCTGAGTTTGAGTGGGAGAGACGCCTCATGAAGAGTGTTCTTGCAGTTTTGACAATATGGCGAAGTCGCCGTTCTGCAAGTGCAACTCGTTGGGGTGTATAGGGAGGGGTAGAGAGGTGTTGAATGCTGTGAAGTGAAAGATAGGAGTCAAGTCTTTCATACTCACCTCCGCCATCAGTATACAATGGTAAAATTTTAGTGTCAAAATGTTACTCCATCATAGGATGAAATTTTTGAAAGATATCTTTAACTTCACTATTCTTTGTTAGTGTATAAAACCAAGTGTACTTCGTTTATTGGTCAACAAAAATACAATAATACAATTTTTTATCAAGACATAAGACTGGTGATGGCCCCCATAAGTCACTGAAAATAATGTGAAGTGGTTTAGAGCTACACAATGATAATTGAGTAAAAGGATGTCGATGAGATTTATTTGATAAACATGAATTAGAATGAAAATTTTTGTCTCTCTCATGAAACGGTAGCGAGAATTTATTTAAAATAAACCTAAGAACTCTAGAGTGAGTATGACCAAGACGTTGGTGCCAAGTAGTGAGAGGGCTGGATGTGGAGATAATGTGAGCTTGGGGATGTGAGACAGGCCACTCATATTGTCCATTGTTAGTCCGACCGTGCACCGGTGGCTGCCATGTTTTCAGATCCTTCACAACAAAGTTAAAAGGAAAAAATTCAATAGACTTAAGATTGTCTTGACATAATTTAGAAATAGAGATAAGCTTGCGTTTGATGGAAGGGGCACACAAAGTGTGAGTTAGCTAAAAAACATTATTTGATGCATTTAATTTAGAAGAACCAGTGTGAGAGGTAGGAATTTCGTTACCATCACCCATGGATACATCTTCGTTACCGCGGTATGGTTGTAGGTTGTGCGGCTCTGTTGTGATGTGATGGGTGGCTCCTGAGTCAACTATCCAGGGATTGGTCTCCGTTGTAAGTCCAGCGACATAGATGGCTTTTGCTTCGAAGTGATTATGAGATCTCGAGCGGCAAACATTGGCCGTGTGGCCAATTCCTTTACATAGTGGACAGCGAATAATACCGTTTGGATTTGAATTGGATTGCCCTTATGGTGGAGCGCTTGGACGCAAGTTCTGGCGCCATTGTTGAGAGTTGTTGGTTTGTCTACAGTTGTTGCAATTATTGGAGTTGAATTTAGTGGAAGTATCAACTACAGCAGTGATGGTACTAGATAGTTTCTTAGCATCCTCGTGGAGGAGGAAGAGTTCAAAGTCTAGTAACTTTTCAAACAGTTCCTCATAGGAGATAGGCGTATCACGTGCACGAATGGCAACAGATATTTCACGAAATTCAGGACCTAGACCACGAAGTATTTTGACAATGAGTTCAGGATTGGAAACAGGAGCACCAGCAGTGGCTAACTCATCCGAAAAGGACCAAATAGTATGAATATATTCATTAATGGAGCGAGAGTCCTTAGTGATACGGGCAAGATGCTCACGCAGACTGAAGACTCGAGTTTGAGATTTGTTCGCATAAGTTGTATGCAAGGCATCCCAAGTTGATTTAGCCGAGTCAGGGGCTGAAACACTAGGAGAAATAGTGTGTTCCACAGAAGCCATGAGAGCATGCTTGATGAGTTGATCTTGACGGAACAAAGTTAAGAAGGCAGGATTGGGAGAGATATTCGTGCCGGGGGTAATCGTGCGACTAGGGGACGGACTGGTTCTATTGAGATGGCCAAAGTAGTTGTAGCCATACATAAGCATGGAAAATTGAGCTTTCCAGGTGGCGAAGTTGTGACCACCACTTAGTTTGATGGGTAATTGGGATGCGGGATTTAATTGAATGATAATATTGGTGCTTGTCGTGTTATCAACATTGACAACTCTGTGATTGTTGCCATTATTGTTGGTCATTGTTGCTGATCTGCGTGAGGAGAAAAAAATACTTGATCGTTCTCTTTAGAGCGTGAAGAGCCCTGATACCATATGAAGCCTGAATGTTCATTTATGAATGAAGGCAGCAAGTTATTAAATAGAGTTACAACGAAAGTGATAAGACTCCTAAACAAACTGAACTAAAGTAATCTAATTAAATAATTACTGCTGAACTAGTAAGACAATCCTAATACGACTAAACTACTAACTGGCGTCGTAAGACCAAATGTTCTAATATCAATCTAATACATCTACCATTGGCAGGTAAAATTAGAATTTTCCTCCTTATTTATCAAAAGCTACTCTATTTTCCCCATTTACTGTGAGTCCTTATGTATCTTTTTTCTTTTCATCTATTTATTTTTTTTAACAAGTTGGATTCATGCATTGTTGTATGTTTCTGCATGTACAAAAGCCAAGCAAACTCATTTTGCTTTTCTGTAACGTTATGCATTGAGCAGCAGCCCAACATATATGGAATTACTAGGGAAGGCCCACGGGAATAGAAGTCGAACATGTGCAATCAGACACATATTGCATGAATGGTGGAAACAAAAGCCTAAAAACACGGTACATGGTTTGGTTCTATAATCTGCCCCAATATTTGTGTGTTGGGAAATATGGAAGGAAAGTTGAAGTTGTAAATATGGTGGCAAGAGAAGCTTAAACAAACATATGATGACTCAACACATTCTCTAGAATATCCAAAGTGCTGAATAAGGCCAGCCTTGACATTACCTTGGATCACATTTTGTGAAAATCTTCTGAAACTAGAACCAATTGTCAAATGTGTATCCATTTGCGTGTAATTTCCTATAAATGGAGCGTTGAAAATGAACACAGACGCGAGCTATTGCACACTATCTGGAAGAGCGGACATGGGAGGTATCTTAAGAGATGATAAGGGTGATTTGTTATGGCATTCTCTTCTTTCTTGGAGTGTGGCAGCATCTTAGAGGCAGAGCATTGGCAGAGCCCTCAAGGGGTTGGATTTATGCATTTCAGCCACTTTTTCTTGGAAATCGACTCAATAGTCTTCCAGATGATTGAAGGAGAAAGACAACCCAATTACAAGCTCAATCTCACCATAGAGAAGATTTGACATATGATAATTCAAGCCTAAGAGGGGCCAATAAGGTTGCGGATAACTTGACTAAGATGGAAAACACCAACAAGAACGGCCATATTTTTGTCTCCTTTTAGAATTTTCCTAATGGTGCAAAAGGGCCTTATCAATTGGACAAAAGTCAAATGCTATCCATTAAACTCATATACGATAAGGTGAATTTTTTCGTTCGCTAATTTACTTTCTTATTTGTGTGGGGATGTAAGCTATCATATCCTAACCCTCCTTTTGAAAGGAAATAAGTTTTATCCATTGTGTTGTATGTTGAGGTAAGTCCAAGACCTCTTTTTGTACTTATTCTCATGATATAGAACACTCCTGCTAACTAGCCGAAATTTAATTCAAAAAGTAGTTTCAACTAACTGAATTTTGAATTAGTTGAAGTTGATACAAGTTACATGTAATCTAGATTTTAGATATACTCCTTTTTGTTATTGGCTTTGTTCTTTCAGGTGATGGCGTGAAGGTGTGTGAGGTTATTAATTGGTGGCTTCATAAATGATCCGTAAATTAAAATGTACATAAGTTGGAAGTTTTCGCAGAACTATATATTTCTTTGCTTAGAAGTATTTTTTTGGTGATAATAAGTAATTCTTGAGGTAGTCAAGCGGCTACGCTGTGTTAACTTCTTTTAACAAGTCGTTTGAATGCGTATGTGAGTATATGGGAATTGCTATTTTTTCACCATTATTTCATCCTCATGTTCTCACTATCTGTATTTGCTCATTCCACTTGCAGTTCAATAGTGCCTTGAGTATTATTAAGCATTTATATCTTGTTACGGTAACATCACCTAATCTTGGCAGAGTTAGTTGTACTTCACCTAAAGATATAAAAGTAATATATTCACAAATATAATGAACTGATTTCAGGAAATAGTAGTCTGCAAGGGAAACAGAAATCCAACATAATTTAATTTAATCATCTGTTAGAAACTGCAAAATTCCCGACAATTAGACTTGTAGGCCATTATCTTTTGTGTGCATCATTCTTTCTCAATAGTATTACATCTCCTCTTATCCTATTTTATGGGTTGTAGTAGGAATAACTACTCAAAGATGTCATTTTACAGATTAAAACTCTTACACAGTGAGGTTGGTAGCACATAATGATTGGAGGAACAATAAGAACGATACAACTTAACAATGCTTATACGTGCAGCTCACGTGTCCATGACTAGTTGTCTATAAATATAGTGGGATTTCCTCTCATTTTTAACAACAGAAATCCTGATCTTCTTAATCTACATGTGCAAAATTAAATATTTGTGTACTTTGTTCCTGTTGAGTAATTTACTAACACCATTATTTTTACATCAATAAGTTGGTGAGTAAAATCTTCCATCCCGAGAGGATATATATCTTTAAACCTCTTGTATTGGAGGGAAATAGTTTTCTTAAAGGGGACATTGCGCATTAAGTGGAGTCAATTTTTTCTTTCTATTTCGTTCTATCTTTACATATTTTGGTGTGTTTTTTAAACTCAAAATTTTATGCTTATGATATTAATTGTTGTTTTTTAGTACATATTTTAAACTCTATTGTTGATGTTTCTGTTGCTATAGCTCATTTCATTAAGTATAAAAGGAACACTTTGAAATTAAATTCTTACTCAATATAAAATTGTTTATTCATTTTTCGGCTGGCTAAAAAGAAAAGTAACTCATATATTGGACAAAGATATTATTTGAGAAACTATACAAAAAATTAACTCAATATATATTATAGGGTTTTTGTTTAGTTCATGAAGTTATATATTATATTCTTCTTTATTGCCTAGTACTCAGACAGTACTACTAGCTCGTTAACTTGAATCATGTTTCAGTTCACTTGTTTACTTTCAAGGTTTCTAACTGTTTTGCATATTAACAATCTTGCATAGTCCTCATTTAGCTCTATGAAGAATTTGTGGCTGTTGCGAATGCAATGTCATGATTACAGATATAATCACTAGCATGTTTTTTGTTCTCAGACTATCAAGTTACTCTGAAATTGGAATAGGAGAAAAAAAAGAACTTTTGAGAATATCTTTGTTTTAGAGGATATTTGCAAGAGAGTTATGGAGCTATTTGCAGGATCAATTCAAATAGAGAAACATGGTATTGTCGATTCCAACTTGTTTGAAATTGAGTTGCAGTAGTAGTAGTTAATGTTTCATTCTTGGTATAATGTTATTTTTCAGTTTTTTTGGTTATTTCCATCCCAATTTTACGTTAATAGTCAGCTTACTGCAATCATATTATGTAGATAGTGAATTTTTTTTATTGATATGCCCATTACGTATTGAATCCCTTTATATACTTAATTCAATATTTTCATATTATGTTTTGTTATCTCCGTCACCAAATTCATTGTTTTCCTCTACTGGGGATTTGGGCTCATGCATGGAAAATTTAAGTAATACACATCATCATTAGTGGCAAAGCCCAATATAGTCAACTATCACCAATCCACTGAATAAATGTAGATACTATGTGTTGTGTTGAATCCCTAAATATTATATCAAATGATTAAGATGACCCACATTTATATTTTTCAATAAAAATTATCCCCTCACAAAAAACAAAAAAAAGATTTTTGCAGAGTATTTTAAATAAGTCATGAAGTCATGTTATGAATTAATAAATGTAATTCAGTGAATATATATATATATTGTAATTAGAAGGATTCTCAGTATTTTGTTTTGTTATTTCCATCACAAAATTCATCAGTTTTACATTAGTAAGCAGCATAATGCAATCATCTTCCTCTATTGTGGCTTGGCACTAAAATCTTATGCACATGAACTTTAAATAAAATTCATCATCATCAATGACAGAACAACATGTATTAAAAAGGTGTTAAGTTGACGAGCTCAAGAGTTATGTTGCTTCACACAGGAGATGCTACACTAAATATGGTAACAATTTCAGTTTACTGCTTACACTCTCTAATAATATTCTTAAGAATAAAAGTTAATCACTAAGAAGAGAAAAATATTGAATTCTCATTTGTTGTGTCAAATTTTCTAATAAATCAAGTTCGACTTTAAATCTAGCTATACTAAGGTCTAAACTTCTCTTGAGTAGCTTTATCAACCACTATTGTCTTGCCAGCACCCGATTCAATTGACAACAATATTTGTTTTACAAAATACCCATTATGAAATGCTTATTTGACATCTATCTGATGCATTTTCCGGCCACGTTTTGCATAAATAGAAATAATTAAGAAGCAATCTGATTGTGTCGATCCTAGCAACTGGAGCAAAAGTGTCAAAATAACCATTAACTCCAAGCCTGGTTTTATGCCTGTTGGTTAAACCATCAACGTTTAGCTTAGCTTGAAAGACTAGAGACATGTCTAAAACTGAACCATTTATAATTATGTAGAAGTATCATGTTATTCGATTCCGTCTTTGCTAACTTGGACCAATTTTGAGCATGTTGGTAGAGTAGTTGCTAGGCTAATGTTATGAACAAGAGGATTTTGTGGTGGAAGACACTTGGAAAAGTCCTGCAGGTAATCGTTGTAACCAGAATATTTGGCATTATAGTTATACAATTTATGTGAACTAAATATGGATTTCCTATTTAATATTGTAGACAAATTTTCAAGCATTGTAACTTGAACTTAGTATAGCGATGTATTTTGTTTGAACTAATTAAGGATGCCCTATTCGTGAAGAAAAAAAATCAAATATGGTTTGGACGTCTATGAAATTTTTTGGCAAAAATGACGGCGGATCATCACAAAAGATGGTGAACTATAGCACACGAAAATTGTTAAAATTGGGGGTTTACCTGCTCCGGGGCTCGTTTGACCTTGAAAATAGGTTGTTTTGCCCTTAGGACCATATGGCTTCATACCTAACG